TGAGGTCCCTGGGTGGACTACTAATCTAAAGCTTAGAAGTTCAAACTCACCCAGCGACAGCTTGGTGATCTGCTTCCATAAAGATTACCTCCAAGAAAACCCTATGGAGCAGCTCTACTCTGTAACACAGCGGCTCACCATGAGTTGGAATGGACTCAATGGCAAGCGTTTTTTTTTAAATGACTAATGATGTTGAGGAACCCCGGTGGCACAGTGCTTAAGCGTTCAGCTGCTAACCAAAAGGTTGGCAGTTCGAATCCACCAGCTGCTCCTTGGAAACCCTATGGGGCAGTTCTACTCTGTCCTGTAGGGTCGCTATGAGTTGGAATTGACTCAACGGCAAAGGGTTTTAACAATGTTGAGCACCTTCTATGGGCTTACTGTCCATTCGTATATTTTCTTTGGAGAAATGTCTGTTTAAGTCCTTTGCCCATTTTAAAATTAAGTTTCATAAGCTCCACCTAAAGCTCCACGGTCAGTGAAATTCACCCACATTACAGTGCGATGTAATGTACACTGTGGCATGTGAAATGTGGAAAGAACATCAATGAAGCAATGTCATGGTGACTATCGCCCACGTTCCAGGACTCTGATTCCATTCATGACACAGAGAAGGCATTTCTAGTTGATCATGTTAGCAATTCAGTAAGTTAGTAAAGCATAAAAACACTAATTAATTAGATTTTGTCACATTTTAAATAAAATATAATAAAATGATTTGACATGTGATTTAATGATTTAGTCATCCAACAGTCGAAGGTAGTAAAAGTTTTAGTGTAAGTATAAATAGAACCAACTTGTTATAATATAATCCACTGATGTTTTCAAGCTAAATTTAAATTTGAAATTTTATTTCTACGTATATTTAATTACTGAGAATAAGTTGCAAAAAATTTACCTAATTTCCTACTAGATATAAATTACAGGTGCGAGCCACCTTCTCTCTTCACAAAGTTTGGACACTTGCACAATAGCTATGACTAAAATAAATGGCGCCAATTTTTTTTGAGAGAGTCTTGTTTAATTCAGAATATAATTAAAATCTCATGTAGCTTTATTGGTTTTAGTATCCAGCAGAGAAAAAATATTGAAACTCCAAGAGATTTTGAATTAAATAGCTACAACAGTTTAGTTTTATTAGTTCTGACTGTGTGGAAAAAAAAAAATCATAAGGACAACATTGAAAAAATCTAGTTCTTTTAGAGTCCCGAATGACTTTTAAGCAATAAAACAAACTATAAAACCTACACTAGTGATATTAAAAATTATGCAGTTCAATAAATGTGATTCACAAATATGGTTGTAATTTTTTTTTTAACTGTAGCAAAGTGAACACGGATCTGATGATTGGATTTAGAAGAGGCAGTGTTACATAGCTTAACAGAATTAAGTGCTTCAGTTTGCTAGTTAGGATTATATAGCTGAACTGCAATGCTATATCGATTTTTTTTTTTTTAACACCTCTATGCACTTCACAGTGTCTGTGACTAAATCAAAGAAAGAGATGATGCTTCCTTTTCCTTTTTGTAGCTTTAGATCCTTTTGGCTGGTGGCTGAGTCGGTCACAAAATAAACTAGTACCATAATCCCATACTATATTTGAAGATGGAGAATAAAGGCTGGCTAGTGATTTACTGGAAGAAACATTGAATGAATTGGAGCAGTCATCTTAATTACTTGCTAAACGGAAGAGGGAACTCTGGTGGCGTAGTGGTTAAGAGCTGCTACCCAAAAAGTTGGCAGTTTGAATCCACCAGCTGCTCCTCGGAAACCCTTTGGGGCAGTTCTACTCTGTCCTGTAGGGTCACTATGAGTCGGGATCGACTCAACAGCAATGGGCTTTTTAAATGGAAGAGGGCAGGAAAAAGAATAAAATCAAAGATGAGGGGGAAATTTTGTGAGAAAATAAGAATCACAGTTATATTTAGTTCACGTAAGTCCCAATCTTTCAAGACACAAACATCTTTTGAAGGCATGTTTAAGCTTCAGGTAATAATAACTGTCCTTTCTTTGTCCCCAAAGCCTATCTCTGTCCTTGGAGCACAGAAGAGCACACTTTCCTTTCAAAGTCTCCTAGCACCTGCCTGAATTCTCCATCAGGCCATTGATGAGAATTACGACTGGTGGAGTGGGCACATCAGACCAGACCACTGAAGGACCAAATGCTTTTCAAAAGCCCTCCACAAACAGTTCCCAGGATCAATGCCCTATCTGAAATTGCATGTAAACTTAAATAATTCAAATACCTTTACCTTTTTTCTAAATGAGAAGACAGTGCTTGCATTCCTCTGAACATAATATCATATTTATTTTTCCCAGGTTTTATATTCAAAAAGTTCAAACCTACAGAGAAATTGGAACTATATACAGCACAACTGTATACAGAACTATATATACACCCATATACCCTTTACCTAAATTCACCTATTAATATTTTCCTATATTTGCTTTACCTCCCTCTTTATATATACATGTGCTTGTTGTTGTGTGCCGCTGAGCCCGTTCTGACTCATAGCATCCCTATATGACAGCAGAACTGCCCCATAGGGTTTCCTAGCCTGTAATCATTATGGGAGCAGATCACCAGGTCTTTTCTCCCACAGAGAGGCTGGTGGGTTCGAACAGTCGATCTTATGGTATAGCCGCCGAGCACTTAACCATTGTGCCTCCAGGACTCCTTACATATATGTTTAGATATAAGTGCACATATGTATATACATATATGTACGTGTATATATGGGTGTGTGTACTGAATTGTTTGAAAGTAAACTGCAGTTATCAAAACCCTAAATACTTTAGCTAGAATCTCCCAAGAATAAAGAATTTTCCAATATAATCTACAATATTATAACTAAGACAATTAACAATAATGTCATCTAACATACAGTTCATATTCATTTTCCCTATTATTCCAAATTTCTTTTATACTTTTTTTAAAAAAATCCATTCGTCTAGTTTTCCATCCACCACCCCTTTCTCTCTTTCTCTTTGGGTATCACTACGGACTCAAGAATTGTTATATTCAGTATGTTATACTCCATAAGGTGTTTTTGAAGCTTAAATCACCACAAGACTGGACGACTGAAAGCCCCTTCAAGCCAGTTCTTGTATTCTTTCCATGGTTTCTGGCACAAGATGTTTTGGGCTTACCTTGTACCTTTTCTGTCCCAGATCTAAAATCAGCCACTTCTCCAAAGACTTATTTATACTACGAATAGGTCACACACCCATATGGTTCAATTCTTCAAATATTTAAAAGGTATACAATACATTCTCCCTTCACCCCACCCTCTCTTCCTATACAACCGAAGGGTATTCATTTTTTTGTGCAGAGATAGTTTACATACATAGGGCAAAGATACATAGAGCATATACATAGAGCATGTAACCCAAATGACAGCATATTACATTTGCTGAGCTTGTCTGTGCTTTCAGCTCTTGTCTGTCGTTAGATTCTGACAGATGCCTATGACCCCACCCTCAAAAGACCAGGAATCATTAGGTGAAGGCCCTAACGTTGCAGACGAGAAAAGTGAAGCTCAGAGAGGTGACTTGCTCAAAGTTGCACGAATACTCACGTTATTTCCTGGATTTGGAATGTTCATCTCTCTCACTCTAGGTCTGTTTTCACTAACTCATCTTTCAAATATCACTTCCTTGGGGAAGCCTAGGATGCCCACTAGGTGATGTCCCCTTGTTTTAAGTTTTCAGAGCATTATGTACTTCTTCCTAGCACATACGTAAGTCACTGTTAAAATTTGTCTCCCACCACCATAAGGACAAGGACTATGTCTGTGTATTTCACTTCTGGCACAGTTGGTGCTCTACAAAACTGTGCGGATTGAAATTCGAACTCAGGTCACTGAGCTCCCAGTCCACTCCTCTTCCTACTACAGTTCCGTTGCAATACGAGAAACAGTTCCAAGATTTAAATAAAAACCTCCTCAACTGAAAAACCTGGGAAGTCTTTGCGTTTCCACGATTAATGAGGTGGTGGGGTGGGGGGGAACCTTGGCAGAAATGGCTCACCGTGAGGTGTGACAACCGCTGGAGAGCGTCAATCAAGAAAATGCCCCCTTGCCCCGGAGGCGAGTGGCGCCGCGCAGAACTGAGGCCACACGGGCCAGCGCCACTGCTTCAACAGAAAACACGGGCAAAACGGGGGGAGTCGGGCTGCGCGCAGCTGCAACCTCCAGGGCCCGGGGAGAGGGGACAAGGACCGGATCCCATCGGGTCAGAGAAGATTGCACAGACTACGTCCGGAGCGTAGGATCCGGGCCCTCTCCTGATACCTGACCGAGGCGGCTTCCGCCAGCGCCCCCAGGGTAGTGGCTGAGTGCCAGGCATCCAAATGAAACGGGCTGGAGCGGCTAAGAGTCTAGTCCACACCTCGCTGGGACAGGGCTAAGGGCAATGGATCTCTCTCCTTGGAACAGCCCCAGTAACTCTGGGCACTCCCTCCTGCTAAGAGCTTGGGAGTCGCCCAGAGCAAAAGCCATGCCACCGTTACTCCACGGAGCTCGCCGACCAGAGAGATTGCTCTCAGGCCTATGAAAATGCGGCCCTCCAGCGGCCTCTACGCTGTCAGTTCCGCTGTCCCTCGCCTGGGGCTGGCCTGGGGCCCGCTGCGCCACCCGGGGTCCGGGCTTGGACCGGTGCGCCCGAGTTTCCGCAGAGGCGCACTCCAGGCAGCTACTTTCCTCTCTCCGTCCCGAACGGACGCGCGTCCTGGACTTTCCTCGAGGGCGGCCCCGACCGGGGTGCCAGGAGCCACGAGCAGTGGCGGCGGCGGCCGGGCACCTGGGCGCAGGGTCCTCAGAGTCCGGCAACGGGCGCGTCCCGGGGGCGGGGAGCTTGGCAGGCGAGGGCGGGCCAGGGTGGGGGCGGGAGGTGGCTCCGGGCCCCGCGCCATTGGCCGTAGGGCCCGGCGGCAGGAAGGGGCCAGCGAGCGCGGCCCCACCCCGTGGCCGGCAGAGCCTATCGCCGGGAGCGCGGAGCGCGGATAAATGTAGCACCGCGGCGCCGGCAGGCAGCTGTCCGAGGGGCTGGAGCGCGGCGGAGCCATGCAGTACCCACACCCCGGGCCCGGGGCGGCGGCGCCCGCCGTGGGGGTGCCGCTGTACGCGCCCACGCCGCTGCTACAGCCAGCGCATCCGACGCCGTTCTACATCGAGGACATCTTGGGCCGCGGGCCTGCCGCGCCCACCCCCACCCCCACGCTGCCGTCCCCCAACTCCTCCTTCACTAGCCTCGTGTCCTCCTACCGGACCCCGGTGTACGAGCCCACGCCGATCCACCCCGCCTTCTCGCACCACTCCACAGCCGCGCTGGCTGCCGCCTACGGACCCGGCGGCTTCGGGGGCCCTCTGTACCCCTTCCCGCGGACGGTGAACGACTACACGCACGCCCTGCTCCGCCACGACCCCCTGGGTAAGGCTGCCGGGGTCACGGCGGGGCCGAGCCGAGGCGGCGGCGAGGAAGGCGCCACCCGGCAGGTGGCAGCGCCCGGGAGGCGGCGGGGGTGGGGGTGGGGGAAGCAATAGAAAGTTGTAGCAAAAGCGATTGTGAAGCGGCCCTGGGGCGCGCGCGGGGCCAGGAGGCGCGGGCCCCGGCGGCGCGCGGCCCGGGCTGACCGCACGGTGACTCAGATTGGTTTTCTGCACCTTGCAGGCGTCGGGGCGCGCGAGCCGGGGCGAGAGCTCCGGCGCCGCTGGCAGTCGAGGACAGCCCGGGTCCGCGCGTGTCGCCCGGGGTGGGGCCCCTGTAGCGGGAGGGACGGGGAGGGGGATACCAAGGCACCGCGGGGCAAGAAGAGCTGCCGGGCTCCGATGGTTACGGGGCTGGACCTGGTTCAACAAACTTGTGTAGTGAAGGAGCCTGACCCTTTCCGTTCATACAGGAAATCTTGAGTTCTCGATAGGAGTAAATCTGGTTTCAGAAGCTGTTAAGTGTTTTCCTGGCTGCATGAAGCAGACCCTTCCCCCGGAGTAGTGCACGCTGCTGATTATTTTATCGACATCCTCAATACAGACAAATTCAGGAAACACTCGACTTCTGATAGCCGGGATCCGTTTTTCTGATATTGTTCATTTCCTCTGTGTGGGATGTGACTTTATGGCAGCTAAAATAACCAGTTGCTTCCTTTTTTTTTTTTTTTCTCCCCCCCCCCCGCCCCCAGGCTGTTTTGCACCAGTCTGAAGCCTGACGCAAGCAAAATCTCGAAAAAACAATGCCAGCTTTCAAAGCGTTTACGCGCAGGCAGGCAGAAGCATAGCCCGACGGACAGACCTTTGGAGTAGGAAGCTGCAGACCCCAGGCGCAAGATAGGAAGGGTAGCTCAGGCATATAGAATTTGCGGGCTTCTCCCTTCAGTACACGGCCAAAGAAATAAGGGAGCCGCGATTCGCTCTCCGGATTGGTCCTTGGCGCCTCCAGGGTCTGAAGCGTCGAGGTAGATAAGGAAATCGTGGGGTTTGATATCAACTCCCTGTTATTGGCGGCTTCGGTAAAGACCCTAGAGGCAATGACCATTAATTTAATAATGTCATTATTATTATGACGCAGCCTCTAGTCTAGTACACTTTTCACTGTTAGGGAGAATTTTGGGGAGATTATATTTTAGTTTTTTTTTTTTTAAGTTTATTATATTGTATGTTTTGATTTCCAGCCTTGAGGGTTTGGTGCAGCGGACCCAGTATGGCTAGGCCTGGGGGCAAACGTTTGCACAAACGCGCTCTGGGTTTCCTTGGGTTACTGGTGGGACTACGCAGGAGGAAGCAAAGGGTTTTTCGAGATAGACCAACAGGAAACACATTGACGGAAATGTTGCCATAGCCCACGGGGTGGCTTTAACTGGCCGCCCCCGCGGGTCGGGTGTGAAATCAGAGGAGGCCGCGGCGCCCTCGGGCTAGGATTGGAGGCTCCACGCACGGCCTAACGCGGGCTCCCGCGCCCCAGCGCTTCCCGCGCAGCCAGCCGCGTGGTTCCCTTGGCCGCGAATGCGCTGGGTGGTGTTACAACCCCACACTTCCCGAACACGCGGACACCCGGGTATTTGGAAAGTGCTATTTACCGAGGGAGAGGACCTGCGCGTGCAAAAAGTTGTGTATAAATTCGAGAACGACTGGTAAAAGAGGGTCGTGGTGTTTTAAGTTCAACTTGTAGTGGGCGTTCTTTTAGAGATTAAAGGATTTGTGTGTTTGTATTTAGCTGTGGTGTGATGGTTGTGTGTGTGAAAATGTACAGGGTGATCTATGTGCATATGCAGTGTAGATATATGACTTCGGGTGTGTGCGTACATATGTGCATATACAGTCTAGGTGTGTGGCTTTGGGTGGGTGCCTCTGTGCCTGTGGGTATATGTGTGGTGGGTGGGAGCTTGCTGAGCCCATGGGCCGGTTTGAGTGCCTGTGAGTGTATGTGAACTGTATGGTTGGGCGTCCTCCTGCCCTTCCCCCTTTTGTCACCCCTTCAGGACAAGGTGCTCCAGGGCCATCGTTAACTGTTGCTCATTCTGCCCACAGGCAAACCCTTGCTTTGGAGTCCCTTCTTGCAGAGGCCTCTGCACAAAAGGAAAGGCGGCCAGGTGAGGTTCTCCAACGATCAGACCATTGAGCTGGAGAAGAAGTTCGAGACCCAGAAATACCTCTCCCCGCCAGAGAGGAAGCGACTGGCCAAGATGCTGCAGCTGAGCGAGAGGCAGGTGAGCGTGCCTGGAGCCTGGGACCTCCTCTGGGGAGAAGGCTCTTGAGGCGGTGGTCACCGAGTAAGCTCGGAGGCATCCTGTCGCGCTGTCCAACGCCTAGAGCGCTGGTCTGCTTTACAGCCCCTAACTGGCTTCTCCCTTCCTCCCTAGATCCTTCGGGATTTCTGGGTCGGTGACAAGTTTTCCTTTTTTCTTTCCTGTAGGTCAAAACCTGGTTTCAGAATCGACGCGCTAAATGGAGGCGACTAAAACAGGTATCACAAGGTTCTGTTTCTATGGAAATATTTTTATCATGTTATCCCAATCCGAGGCCTGTTATGGGTTGTATGCAAAAGTCATTTGTGAGCCTATTTAACCTCTTCACCTTGATTAAAAAGGCAAATAGCCCTGCAGAAATGCAGGATGACTCGCTCAGGTGGCAGTAATGCTAAAAGCACCTAATGCAGTTCCTATATCAATTATGCTGGGGTTTTCACACACCGGCTAGGAAAACTCCTAGCTAATTGTTTTATAAACCCCATATGTTGTTTATCTAATTAACGCAGGAAAGATAAAGTAATTGACAGTAAATGACTTAAGCAGTTATCTTTGGGAGAAAATTGTTTCTTTTATTTACACAGCCATAATAAAACCAGGCAGAAGTCAAGAGTAAATATAAGGAAATAAACACCTTTAAGTCTTGTTTGCACTGTTTTTTTCTTTAGAAGAATTAAATATCAAAGCGTTTAAAAAATGATTTTCCATCTAACTCCAGCTCTTAAAATGAACGTAAAACATGTAAGAAAATATCCAAGCCTGTTTGGAAAGTAGTTTAAACTTTCTAACAGTCTTTTTCCCAGTGACCTTGTTACACAATATGTGATAAAAAGGAAAGGCTAATTCAGTTTTTAAAGAAGCTCTGTTGATTTAAAGCTAAAGATTTGTTTTGATGTCCTAATCTGGATATATTCCCCAAAGTTATCTAACAATCGCTGACTTGTTCATTGGCCAGTGTATACACAGTTTATAATAAAATATCTTTGAAACAATAATAACAAGGGGGAAAATTGAAAACAATGTGGATTTTTAATTTTTTGATCATTACTTGTTCATTAAAAACGAGGGTGTCATAAATATGAATATTTTGAAACAAAATAAAATCCCCATAATTCCATTCTTCTAACATGATTTAAATATTTGCAGATTTCTTTTGAGTCTCTTGACCATGTGCATCTATTTTTTACGTAGTTGCAATCTGGTGAATATATTATTTGATAGTCTTGCTTTGAAAAACAACTTTAGTATTATAATGTTTTTATATAGTGTGTGTGTCCATTTTAAAGAAACACAGGATTAAAAATTCACTAGTTTATTGTTCATCAAAGGCTTGACTTTAGTCTGCTAGGGACTTTTAAAATAGTGGTTCCTATGTAATATGGAAATATTTTTCAGAGTTTTCCCCCATATTTTAAGTAAATTGTAGTTCATGGCCTTCTTTTTCAGTTAACAGCATTCTTCCAGTCCTGCATTTTTTATCTATGATTTTTTATCTATTTTTTATGATTTTGTAACTCGTGTATATGTTTTAAAATTTATTCTAGAAAAAGGATGTAAAAGGATTCACCCAAATAATTTTGAAATAATTTAGTAACTTAAATGATAAATAATTTACTTTCTTCTTAACTCACATTTAGCACTAATATTTTAAAATGTCTGCAAGACCCTGATTAGCAAGGTTTTAATATTTAAGGAATGAAGATAGTATGTATCTGGAGTTATCTAATTTTTTACCCCCTCTAAATTTTACAAATCTTGAGAGCAAGAGTCTGTACTGGAGTTAAGTGTTTCATTGATATATTTACAGTTATATCTGTGACTAGTTCTCATCTGGCTAGAGTATAATCTCTCTCCAGTGTGACAGCCACTCTTCTCTTTACATCTCTTCCAAAATGAGAAAGAAGTACAACTATGTATTTTCTGAATAAAAGTATTATAATTGAAAGCACTTGATAAACTGAAAATTTGAAAGATGGTGCAGAATGAAAAACCATTTTGATTTGTGTCTCTCACCTCTTCGTATTTCTTGATCCCACCAATCTCCATTTTCATTTCCTTCATTCAGGAGAACCCTCAAGGCAATAAAAAAGAAGACCTGGAAAATTTGGACAATCCTTGTGAGCAGAGGCAAGACTTGCCCAGTGAACAGAATAAAGGTGCTTCTTTGGATAGCTCTCAGTGTTCACCCTCCCCTGCCTCCCAGGAAGACCTTGAATCAGAGATTTCAGAGGATTCTGATCAGGAAGTGGACATCGAAGGCGATAAAGGCTATTTTAATGCTGGATGATGACCACTCGCTTAGCTGGCAAGTTTGGAAAACTGGATTTGAGAAGAACATTTTGCTACAGCGAATCTTCGTGGAAGAACTGGAAAACTATACGAGAAGGGGAGTCAGTTTTCTGGTATTCCAGAATCCTAAAATACTTGGTGCACTGGCTAATTAACAAACTCTCATTGAAACCTTAATTTTGACTTGAGAAATGGATTCTGTGCCGATTTAGGTTGTTATGATAAAGTGACACTTCACTGATTAAATTCACCCTTTTTTTTTTTCAAAAAGTAAATTGTTACTTCTATTTATAAAAAGTAATTTTTAACTTTTTGTTAAGTTTTTAAGTTATAACTTTGTTTTAATAGGATCTTCTTGAATGACTTTCCTATAATCTGGATCTACATCACACTTAATGGAAAAGCAAAGGGACATCTCAAATCCAGAAGGATGCCTTGGAAAGGGGGGCCCCCGTTACAGGCAGCCCTGGGATATTTTAAAAGGAAACAATGTTTTATATAAAATTCTTATATTGCTGCCTTAAATCTAAAATTATTTCAGAGCTCTTGTCTCAGGAATGTGTGTTCTTTTGTCAGAGAGATATAGTTAATAAGAATCTTAAATGCTTGTTTTGCACTATCACTTAGTACCTGTTTGACCAAGGTGATAAGGGGATAGTAGTGTCCAGTTCAAGCGGAGAAACTGACTCGTCGGTGACTAAAATTAATCACAGATGAACTAGAAGTAGCAGGTTAATTAAATGTAAGTCGATTGTAGATAATTGTGTTTTATATCAAACAATGTTCATAATGTGTATATATAATTGTTCACTGTCATGGCCAGAATGGTGTTCATTTTTTTAAACGAGTAACTTGGTGTAAAATAAACCTGTCGGTGGGACGACTGATCCGCCGGACGTCTCATTCTCTGATTAAAAAACACAACAAAGACCTAAAGTGCCTCCTGGGTGCTTAGCGCGGTGCTTGGCGCTGGGGTAGGGAGTCGGGAAGAGCTGGATTCGCTGGCGGTGTTTCTTGCCCGGGCTGTTGCTGCGCGCAGCAAACTAGGAGCGCAGTGCTGGTCCGGTAGGTGGGCGCCTGGATGGTGGATGTGGGCTTTTCCAGGTGTGTGCAGCTGGGCGGTGCGCTTCTGGGCCTCTCCCACCGGCCAACCCGAGTGGTGCAAATTTCCGGACCCGGGGCGCGCCAGGCAGCGAGAAGAGCCCCGACCCAGGCCGGCTGCACCGCGGAGCGCGGCGCCGCCGCGGCCGCATCGATTCGCCTCAGCTCGCCGGGCTGGCCCGGGCGCCGTCCTTGACCAGCGTGAGTCAACACTGCGTCATCCTCTGGGCGGCCGAGCCTAGGGGGCCCGCTTCGCGCGGCTAGGCTGGCGAGGGAGAGTCCGCAACCCGCCCCTTCACGTAGGGGGATGGGGAGGCCGAGGCCGGGAGAAGCCGTAGCGAGTTTGCTCCAAGGTAGCGATTCTCGCACTTGTGAGAGCTTCAGGATTACTTGGAGGGCACGTTGAAACTCAGATTGCCAGGCGTCACCCACAGAGTTTCTGATTCAGTAGGTCTAGGGTGGGGCGGAGAATTTGCATTTCTAAAGAGTTTAAGGTGATGCCAAAGCTGCTGGTCCCGGAACCACTGCTCTAAGGAGTTCCTTCCGTGGAAGAAGCAGGTGTGGCCCGCATACCCCTTTCCCTCCCACCCGACCTGGTTCCTTCCAGGTACTCCTGCCAGTGTGGAAGTGGGGTGGGGGGCGGTGAGGACTGAGTGGGAGAAAGAGGGAGGGAGAGCAGAGGGAGCAAGGTGTAGCGAGAGTGGTGAGGGTGAGGGCGTGGGGTGAAGGAAGGGGTATTGTGAAATGGGAGAGGACGAGAGTGCTGAGGTGAGGGGGGCGGTTTGGGGGTTGAGGGGAAGAGTGGGATGAGGTGAGTTGAGTTTTCTCACTGTCCAGGGTATCGCTAGCAGCTATCCAGCTACTTGCCTAGCTGAGCCATTAGGCCCCTGACATTCCAGGAAGAGGATGAGAGACACCTGTTGGAGGAGAGATCCAGAAATCTCTCCTAGGCTTGGCCTCCACAGAGGCCTCCAGTTGTCTAGAGTTGGGTACCTCCTGGGCTGAGGCCGGTGAAGGAATGGCCATGCCCTTGGCCTGACCAGGGCTGTGACTCCCCAGATGTGGGCATCCAGGTGCTAGCAGAAAAGGAAGACTGAATGAAAAAGTCATTGCTCTCAGAGGGTTGTTCACATCCTGCCTCCTTAGATTCCCAGATGATCCCTGGAACTGCAGGTGGATTTAGATTTCTGAGAAATTTAGTACTGGGTCCTCAGACAGAGAGGTACGCATGACCTGGAAGTCTGAAGATTTGGGATGGAGTATTAGTTCTTGGCTTCAGTTTTCTCATCTGTAGAATGAGGCTCTATTAGATCCCTTCCAGCCCCTAAACTCCCAACTTAGTTCAAGCTCTTTATCTCCCTGCTCATGTCTCCTCAATGTTGGAGTCCAAGTTAACCATCTAGTGGGAGACTTTAGCCCTTCCCATCACCTGCAGACTCCAAGCTCCCTGACCTGCCTGGCAGGTTACATCAAGGTTTCAAAGGTCGTAATCAGTCTCATATGAAAATGGGACTGTCTGTATCAGATTTTTGGAGAATGGGAGGCTTGTGGACCTAATGTTGAGTTAAAGCAATCTTGGAATCAGTGTGTGTGTGTTTTGCTCCTGGAGATAACCCCTGGTTAATGTTTATTCTTGAGAATAACTGTATCATGACTATCAAGCAGAGAAATACAGGCTTATGTATTGATTGACACTAGAAAAGTTGAGGGGTGAAATCTTGTTTTAAAGTAGACAATTCCCTGAAATCAGGTGGTTTTCAAATTTAAAGCTCTTCCTAACTCCCTTGAAGTTGCTTATATTCTGAACTGAATATACCCCTAAGAATCAAGAGCATGCTAACAGGAAGAAATACAGTATTCTCACGACACAGGTTGGCATGGACAGTTTTCTGAAGGGCCCCACTGCAGATTGCCAATGGATATTTACAAATTCTTCCTACAATCCAGGCATTTTTCATTTGTTTGTCCTTTGGCTATTTCATGTTGAAGCAGCATGTATGACCTTTACAGCACAACTCCTGTCTTGTTTTCAACTCTTTTTATCAGGAGATTCGACTTGAAACGGTTATCATTTAGCAGAAAGACAAACAGAAAAGCACATTTTTGTAAGCAAAACGTTAATGATTGGAAGAATTGCCCTAATTTCGCCATGACAGTGTGTGATTAATCCCCTGGGTCATGTACTTATACTTTAAGTTATTCAGTGTGTTGGTCTTTGATATTCAGAACCCTTTCTAACTTAATAGGATATTGATTTTGTTGCATGATGTAAAAATGTACTTTGACTCTTTAAACATCATCACTTTTAGGGATGACTAGCCTGCTGTGTAGTATTTTATTTAAAGAACGGTTGCATAAGGTTTCTTTTTCTTACTTTTTATGGTTTCTCAGGGTGAAAGCTGATAAGACATCTTGTGGGAAAAGAGGAAACCATCTCTGATAGTGAAAGTACCTATTCTCTTTCAACATTTCTGACAACCTTTTTTTGTGGTTTCATTACTGTGAATATTCATCTTAGATAATGGGGGTGGGGCAGGGATTCAAGAAAATGTATTTGGACTTGGGAGGAATGCACCTTGCCGGGGCAGGAGGAACTTACCGGAATTCTCATTCTAGTTATACTGCCTTGTGAAAGATCATATGAACTCAAATGCTCACCTTTTTTGATTTTCTTTAAAATCTAATAATCAATGATCCTTTAAATCTGATTGGTGTTAATATTTATGGGATTACTGACAAAATGAAACAGAAGGTGGAAAACCAAACAGTCTCCCAGGATGCTTCTAAATGGTTATGAGTTTGTCATCTTGTAAAAATCATCAGATGTTTTACTAACATTTATTTTTCATCCTGCTTAGATTTTATGAAATCCCAGCTGGACTCTGTACTTATTTAATTTTGTCCCTTGATACATTTTTAAATATTGTTGTTAAATCCAAATGAGAAGCAATTTGGAGATTCCTCCCACCTACCAAAATAACTAAGATCCAACGTCTACAGGTCAGCAGATAGTCTTTTAGACGTGGCTGTAGGGAACCCTATCTCAGAGGAAATATACTGTTGTAGATAAGAGCTTCCTTAAAGATGACAGCCACGAAAACCCTGTGGGACAGTCTTACTCTGTCACATGGGGTAGTTATAAGTTGGAATCAGAATTTCCTGGAAGGTACCCAGCAACAAGACCAGAGCTGGAAGTAAAGTAGAAGTAAGGCAGAAATGTCCTCTATACCTCCCTTGCTGGTTGGGAGCCTCAGTTCCTAAAGTCGTGGGGGACTTAACTGAGAGACATCAAGTAAGTGCCTGGCACACTGCGGGCACTAAGTGATAGCTAGAAAAGCTAGAAAGCGCCAGTGATGCCCTTCTTTTGAGTCAGCTCTCTGATTCGAAGTTGCAGGCGGGAAACCTCTTCAGTCAGATGTACACAAATCTCTCCAGACAATAGAGAAGGCTGCGGGAAAGAGACCTTGGAGCTGGCAAAGGCATTTCCTGTCTGCGGAGGATCTTGACTTTGGAGCATCCGGCGGTTGCTGAGAGGTTTTTGAGGCGGTCGAGCACTTTCCTGTGTAGCTACTTAAAAAAAAAAAAAAAAAAAGTCATTGTCATTTTCGGGCGATTTTCCAGATGAGAGCAAATCAGGCGGTTTCTCACTTGGTTTTTTTTTAGCATTCTCTCTAACCATTAGAATCTTTTTTTTAATTTGAGAGAGGAGTTTAGCATCATTCAAAAATTTTAAATATGCAAAAACCTCATCACCCTCTGAAGACAGATAAAGGAGTATAGGACAGAATACAGGAAAGGGTTAATGGTAAAGGGTCACCTTCTACCCCTTACTCCCCCATTTACAGATACTTGCAGGAAGGGAAATGCCTATCAAATTTGTCTCAGTTAAACTTATTTATATTTTTATTTTAGAATTTAAGTATGCCCTTCTATCCTTTCTCACCTCCCCATTTTTCTTTTTTTTTAACTCCCTTTCTCCTCCCCCGCTTCCTCTCAGGATTTCTCTTCCTTATTCAGTTTATTTTCCCATTAAGAATAAAAATGACTAATCTTGACTTTTTACACGTGAGTATTAGGGCCAATATTTTCTTCAAATTTATAAAATTTTGCATCTTTCAGGTGAGGTAGAAACCTAAATTTGAGAGGAGATGTTGCTGGAGTCCTGATACACTGCCCTCTATCCCCCCAGGGAAATTCTTTTTTTAAAATTTTTTTATTGTGCTTTAGGTGAAAGTTTACAGAGTGAATTAGTTTCCCACTTGATAGTTTGTACATAAAGTGTTCCACGACACTTTGCATTCCCCAAAATGTGTCAGCACTCTCCCCATTTCTGCCCTGGGTTCCCTGTTTCCTTGTGTCTGTATTTTCTACCCCTTCCTGCCTTCTCTTCTTTGCTTTTGGGCAAGTATCCTTTTGATCATATAATTGATTATTCTAAGGAACACGTTCTTCTTGGGTGTTATTATTTATTTTATGGACCTGTCTGTTGTTTGGCTGAAAGGTGGTCTCTGGGAATGGCTTCAGTTCCAGGTCAGAAGGGTGTCTTAGGGCCATGGTCTCTGGGGTTCCTTCAGTCTATGTCAGACCAGTAAGTCTGGTCTTTTTTGTGAATTTAGTTTCTTGTTCTACATTTTTCTCCAGCTCTGTCTGGGACTCTCTGTTGTAATCTCAGTCAGAGCGGTTGGTAGTGGTAGCCGGGCACCATCTAGTTCTTCTGGTCTCAGGGTTGTGTAGGCTGTGGTTCATGTGGTCCATTCATTCAATTGCTCCCTTGAGTCTTTGGTTT